AACAAAATCAAGATAGCAATGGATCAAATAATAGAAATAACAAAGAAAGAGAAACCAGAGATTGAAGAACAGAAACTCAAGGAACTAAAAACAATAGAAGATCTAGAAGTAAAGATAATTAGATAACAAAATTTAAAAGAGAATATTAGTTAAGAAATGATAGAAATTTTGGAAAAAAATATAATGAAAAACAAAAACAAGTATACAATATATATAGACAGAACAGCAAATTTGAAGATAAAAGAAGATAAAAGAAGTAAAAGTAGATGGGCATAAGATGAGTGCAGATGGATGAAACACAAGAATGGCCTAAAGAGAAGGCAGCACTAAGACTAAAATGATGACAAACATCAACAGTAGCAGAGTTAGTAGCAATATGGGCAGCAATTTTAACAGTACCAAAAGGAAAACAAATAAAAGTATATATAGATAGCAATGCTGCAATAAAAAACATTAGTAGAGGTTTAGAATATGTAGACAGAAATAAGATTTTTAAGAAGAAAAATATGATATGAATAATGAAAATTAAAAATCTGATTATGACAAAAAACATCCAGATAGAGTTCTTTAAGGTTAAGAGCTACAGTAAAGATAGATAAAATGATAAAGCTGACAGCCTAGCAAAAAAAAGTGCAACAAATAAAAGAACAATACAGGCTAAAGAAGTCAGTTGCAAAGAGATAGAGTACTGCCTAGAGTAAGAAAACAAATGTATTGATATACCAACAAGATTGCTTTGCAAGTTAATAATAAATGCAAGATTAAAAGCAGAATAAAAAAAACAAAAGCAATTAGAGAATTAGAACCAAAAACAAAAGTTATAATTTATGATTGGACATACTTTTAGAAAAGACTAAGAATAACTAAAGAAGTACACTGCACAATAAGAAGAAGTAGTGCTAGAAGAAGTGTATTTATAAAGTATATAATAGATAAACTACTAATATTAGAAGAACTTAACAAAAGAAGACCAGATGTATATACAACAACAGAATGCCAAGTCTGTTAGAATAAAACAAAAGAAATATAGGCACATCTGGCAGCATGCAAGAGACAAAGAAAGCTTTAGAAAAGAATTCAAAAAATAATCATTATAACAGCCTAGAAGAGGTTAAAAGAAAATAAAAAAGTTTGGGTCCTTTTATATATATTATACACAGCTCTTTCAGAAAAACAGAAGCAAAAAAGATTAGAATAAGAGAGACACTAATTAAAGGTCTTATTCTAAAAGAAACACAAAACAGATTAAGGCAGCTTCTAAGCACAAAATCAAGGCAACAGTTTATGAATGTAATAGCAAAAACAGTCTAAGATACCTTTTACAAACAAGTATAGAAAATTCAATATGAAAAAATTAGTTTTGAGAGAAAAATAAAAGAATAACAGATAGAATGAAAAAAAAAAAAAAAAAAAAAAATAGCACCAAACAAAAAAAAAAACCAAATTAGCAAAAAATAGAAGAAAGAAAGGAAAAAATAAAAGAAAAAGAGAAACAAATTGAAAAAGAAGTACAGAAAACAATTTTGAAACTTGGCATAAAAGGGAAAAAACCCTTTTATTACAGACTTTAAATAGTCATATGAGTAGCTTACTTCTGCTTAAAGTAATTCAGCAGGTTGCACTTAGATACCAGTTGGATAGCTGGGTGATGCTAAACTTAGATGTTAAGGATATTTATATAATTGCAAAAGTAATTTCAAAATCTTAATAAAATACTAGCATGTCTGCTTAAGAAAAAAAATTTTATATAATTAATAGGCATCTTTATTACTTATAGTTATAAAGTTTGATTAAAAATTTTAACAAAATATTAAAAATATTTCTTTAGCATAGATAGAAGATAATAACTAAAAAGATTAAAGTATTAATCTTTTAATAATTATATGTAAGTATATTATTATTATTATTTTTTTTTTTTAACTTAAGTAATCATGCTAGTACTTTATTAGAATTCTTGATACTATACAAATTACAAAAAATTTTTTTAATACTTAAGTTCAGCATCACCTAACCACCTTATTAATATCTAAGTGCAACCTGCTGCACTACTCCAAACAGAAATAAACTGCTCATCTGACTACCATCCTACAATAGGATACTATCAATTTGATGACATCTTCTGATAAGAAAGCAAAAAAAAAAAAAAGATTTTATATATAAAAAAAAATAAAGATATAAAGATAAACAATAAAAGATACAAAACAAGAAATAAAAGAAAAAATAAAGATAAACAAAAAAAAAAAGAAAGTATAAAACTTGTAATTTATCAAAAATCAAATAATCATAATTTTAAGCCTATATTAGTTATAAAACTTGCAATTCACAGATATCAGACAATTACAATTATAAGTCTATATTAGGTTTGTAAAAATTATAAACTATACTAAATAAAAATTATTCTATTTTTTTTTTTATTTATTTAGATTATTTAAACAAAAAACCAAAAAGGAGAAAAAACTTTAACTTTATTATAAAGAGTTAGTATTGAATACTAGTTAGTTTAAAAGCAATGTTTGATAAGTTTTCAGTAGCTCAAGACATGTGTATAGTTATGTTTGTAATACTGTATTATTTCTAATCTATGTCATCAACAATTTCATTTAGGAAGAAATACTGCTAACTGTTTTGGTAATTTTATATGTTGATCTTTAGAAGAAAGTAAACTAAAATTACTCATTTTTACAAAATTTTTCTCAAAAAAAAGTGAAAATGCTAGGTTAATTAACTTTTTAGCTTTTGTAAGTTCTTAACTCTTGTAGATATTTCTTGTAAGCTTTATAGTTATATAGAACTAATATATCCAACTTTGTTATTTATTTAATAAAAAACCTTGACTTTTATTAACTATTTTTTTTATAGTTTCGAAGTGCTTTTTTAAACTATTACTACAAGGCTGCAACTTTTTTTTAACTTTATTTTAATGTCCAATAATGCATATATAGTATTTTAGAAAGGTTTTTATAAAGTTTAATATATTAACTATATCATTTTTCTGTAATTTGGCTTTTTGAAAAGTTTGGTTTAAATAATTATCAGAAAGAGTTATAACTTTATAAATATAAGTATATTATTTAGTGATTTATATAGTTTGTTATTTTATTAAATTTTTTTTAAATTCTATAAATATTCATCATTCTAGATCTACAAATTATACATTATATAAAACAGTTTTTAAGTAATATCTTTTAGATTATTTTAATATAATTGAAAAATAAAAATAATATAATATTAAAATAAAAGAAGATTTATCTAAAGACATTATTAAATATAAGAAAATATTTAAAGATAACTTGTATAATAAAGATAAAAATTTAATAAAAATATTTAAGTTATATAAAAGAAGATAACATCTTACTAAACAAAAAATTAATAATAATTTTTTTATTAAACTTTTTATCTTTGATATTATATTCTAATATTGTACAAAAACATCATATTAATCACAACTTTTTCTAATAATCATCTGAACTAAACTTTCCAAAATGCCAAACTACAGAAAAATAATATAGTTAATATATTAAACTTTATGAAAACTTCTCTAAAGTACTAGTATACATAATGAGCATTGAAATAGAATTAAAAAAAAAACTATTACTTTATGATAACAGTTTAAAGAAACTCTGAAACTATAAAAAAAGTGGTTAATGAATGCTAAAAGTCTCTCATAAAGTAAACAACAGTGTTGGATATATTAGTTCTATATAACTATAAAACTTATAAAGAACTTTCAGAAAGGTTAAGTACTCACAAAAACTATAGTTTGGTTCACCTCATATCTTTTCTTTTTTTTAAAGAAAATTTTGTAAAAAGTAGACAATTCAGTTTACCCCTTTCAAAAGATTGACACATAAAATACCAAAACAGTCAGCAGTATTTACTTCCTAATCAGTATTGTGTAAACAATACAGTAATACAAACATAACTTATACACATGCCTCAAACTGCTAAAACCCCATGAAATACTGTTTCTGGACTAACCAGTACCTTATGCTGACTCTCTACATTTAAGTTAAAGAACAAAATACCATCATCCCTGACAAAAGATATCAATCTTGCTCAAAGTCAGCTGTTAATTACTGCGGTAAACAGATAAAGTGCCGACTTTCACACGTATGCATCTACGTAATTCCTAAATATATGTGTAAGAAGTATAGATAATCACGTGAGTGTGACCTCAAAAGTCACTTATTGATATTTATTAAACGTTAATTATTTGAGGTTCTCTTTTTAAAATTATCACATTCACATTGCTTATATATTCCATCTGCTACTTTTTTGCATGTTTTGCAATATAGGTATGAATGATGATTGCGCTCGTCACAAACCTTACGCTTCTATTACATTATTTCGCGATTATGTATCAAATACAAAATAAGAAAAGAATTAGAAATTAGAATTAAATACGTATAAATGCTCCTCAATTTAACCGTTATTACCGAATTCTTTCATCAAACAGGGTCAATCAATCTAACCATTACCGTTACAGTCAGGAATTTTACCCGATATAAGGGATCCATTATAATCTTTTCCACAAAAAATTGTTCACCCCTGCAATAATGACCAATCAAAATTTAGTAAACCATTGCGTTATAGTTGGGGTTTTTTGTTAGTACAGTGTGTCGGTCATTAGTAGAATTTCACGAGTAACATTTTTAATTAGGCCGCAGGAGATGGCTTCCTAATAAAAATTTAGAGCTATTCCTGTTTTTTGTTAAAATAGTGTCCGTTCGGTTTTTACGTTACACCCGATCTTAAAATTCGATTGGCCAAAATTACAGAGGTGAACAATTGTTTGTTAGTACAGATAAAATACGTACAGTACATAACTATTAATAGATTGAATAACAATGTCTATTTTTCTATTGGCTGTTCTTTAAGTTCACATGACCAATTTCTATAGCGTGACACTATGGGATAGCATATTTTTAATAACTTGAGAAACTTTGAAAACGTTTTTATCTTTATGAAACAAAATATATATTCATATATATCGTACCAGTATGATGGTGACCTCATCAAGGAGACCTAGTACCAGAAAGACCACTTCTTTATTTAGCAGCCAGAGGCAACAATCACAAGCTTACGAGCAAAGTTCTGGTGCATCTGATCTAGAGTCTGACGAATTTATGGAAGAAGAGGCAATAGCTAAACGCGGTGATTCTTATCAAAGTGAGGATGAAGAGATTGATGCGGAACTCGATGAAATGATGGAAGACGACGATGACGAGTATATTGAAATTGAATCGAGATTAGAGGAAGGAGAGGAGGAAATTGAACAAGCCGAGGAAGAGGATGCTGAACAAGCTGAAGAACCTGAGGAAGAAAATGAACAAGTCGATGACGATATTGACTTGGAAGACGACATAGACGATTGCGATGATGCAACTCCTGTTGACGACGAAGATGATTTTGAGATTGGTGATGAGGAAGATGAAGATGAAGAAATTGAAGAGGAGAATAGTTATGAGAGCAGAGCACCTACTACCAGACGAACAAGGGGAAATAGAGGTATTCCACGACGTGCACCTCAAAAACAAAAGCGGCCTATGAGGCAACAGAAAGTACCAACTCAACATCAAACTAGTAATTCAAGAAAGAAGTGTATGCAGTAATAATTTTTCTCGAATTGTATCTAATTTATAGCCATTTAACTGAATATCAACTTTCTTTTACTAGCAAGCAGGCATGATATTAAAAAACATTAATAATATGGTTTTTTCCTCAATAAATAATCATATTGTTTTTATTAAAGCATGGCGGAATCATCATCATCATCTCACGATGCTCGTATTCTTACCAAACGACAAAGGGCTAAACTGGACGACAATTATGGGTCAGACTTGCTTCAACTTCCAATGGGTTAATATTACTCTCTATATGTTATGTTCTAATATCTTCATATATCACCAACAAAAACTTAGAATCTTAATTTATTAGAACCAATGAAAAAAAAGCAACTCACTGAGGAGGAAATGCTCTTAAAAAAGTCTGAAATAGCACGAAGAAGAAAGCATCAGAGCATTCAACGTGCTGAGCAAGATAAGGTATTTTACTTATTAGTGTCTACTATTATTATTCAATGTTCAATTTCTTATATATCTATATCCTATAGATGGATACAATTAATCGTCTTTTAAAAAAACAAGCATCTAAAAAACGATCAAAAGATCAGGATGAAACTGATAGTATTAGCAAAGATGATAGTAGTACGAATTCACAAACACCAATTGCATTTCATTATGTTTCCAACAAGGATGGATGTACCCTATCAATTCCATCTGACGTTGAGATACCAATTAAATTTTCAAAAGGACCAAAGTAAGTATTAACTACTCACTACTAGCCTTTTTTCTCATTTACTATAAATTCATTGTTTCTCAAAATCTTCCCAGTTATCCACCGCCCGTTCCTATATGTTCAGTATCTGGTTGTACGCGTCCTAAGAAGTATCGTTGTGTAAATACACTCAAATATGCATGTTCCATGGAACATCTTAAAATGATGGACACGCGTGTCAAACAAAGTTTTCGATAAATTGTAAATATTTATGCTTATAATAATGTAATTATATAATGATCAAAGATAATGAAAAACAATTTTAAAGAAAGAAATAAGGTATACCGTATTGTCTCGAAATAACCCGGGTGTAGGTTAAAAATTTGGCCCGAATTAATCGTAATTCGGCCTAAATTAAGTTTAATTCCGGCCAAGGTTTTAACCTACCCCCGGGCGTTATTTCGAGATAATACGGTACAATCGACTCTGAACTCATTGTGTCTTTCTATAACGAGATTTAGATATATCTAACTTAGAATTTTCATAATAACTTGTTTTCTTCCAGAACAGTCAGTTCGTTAATTGACTGTATCGTAAAATGCCATTTAAGTAGCATTTAAGTACCGGAATATTTCACACTCTACATGTGATCGAGGGGTACAATGACCCCGAAATATTCATTTAGAGATGTTGCTCGTTAAAAATGATTACAAATTGACAGTAACAAATGAATTGGTGTTAAATATACAAATAAAGACAGTGATTCTAGAAATGTCTTTCACGCGAGATAAACAGTTTACATATCATGTGACCTTACGCTAGATGTCATACGGATAATTTGCTGTTTCAAAGACACCACAGAATTTTTCTAAATACAGCAAACCACAGAAATTGGTTCTAATCACAGCAGAATAGTGGATGTTTTTTACAGAATTGATATTTTAATATGTATTTTTCTATTAGCGTTAGCGGTTAAATCTTTAAAAAACTTTTTTAAATTAAATAAAAATATGTATTTTCCTGCTCAATTACTGGATTTTTAAGTGCATATTGAAATTGGGTGGCGAAGCCATCCGTATATGCGAATTAGTACTATATAGGTAAAATTTTCCAACGTACTAAAATGAATATGCACATACATATAATACTACTAAAAAAAAGTTTCAAGGTAATTGATATAAATGTGTTTCATGAATAATGATAGTAATAGTAATAGTTTACTATTATACATTTGCAAAAAAAAAAAAACCAATAAATTATATTTATCATTATATTTTGTTATTATCATTATATTTTTTTTCTTTTATAATAATAAAGACAAAACTTTCTATTGTTACTTGTATAAATAAGTATTTTAACATTCTTAAAAATAGAGAAGTTTTGTTTTGTAATTATTGTGATTTATTTGTTAAATAGAAAGTTAAATTTATTGTTAATAAGCATTGTAATTTAAAGAGGTTTTAAAAAACAAACAAATATATAAAAATAATTAAAAGTTTAAAAAACAAGTTACACTTGTTACTACTATTACATTCAAATTAATAATAAAGATTATAGAAGATTTAATTAAAGTTTTTTTATTTGCAAATATACTTCTTAAAAAGTTAATAGTTAATTTTTATTTTTTAAAAAACATCTTAAAGAAAATAGTATGATTTATTTTTTAAACTTAAGCAGCCACGCTAGTACTTTATTAAGATTCTTGGAATTATATAGATGTCTCTAATAACTAAGTTTAGCATCATCTGGCCATCCAAACAGTACCTAAGTGTGACCTGTCACACTACTTCAAACATGTTGCTTGTCTAACTACTTAAAGTTTAAAAAAAAAAAAGTTTTTCTTCTTTTATAACAAGTTTTAGTAATGTCTTCTTAGCTTCTTTTCTAATTTACAAAATTTTCTTTTTTTGAGCTTGCTATTTGATTTTACTATTAGTGTTTTGTGTATTGTATAGAATTATTTTAGTTATTTTAGTTGATATTGTTTAATAATGCTTATTTAGTGTTTTTTCTATGGTGTTGTTGTATTTATTTTGGTATGTTTCAGTTATTATTATTTAGATAAAATAACTTAAGTCAGTTCTGAAAATGGTGGTAGCTGTAGAATATAGTTGGGATTTTTGGAATTTTGAAGTGTTGTCTAAGTATTGTTAATGTAAATGTAATGTTTGTTTGTTATATAATTGATAAGCTAATATATATTTTATTAATTTTATCTTTAAGCATTTCTTGTAATTGAATCAATTTTGATAGAATTGTTGATTTATTTGTTGCATTAGGTTAAGTATTTGTTTCTTGTTGTTTATTTAGTATTTCAATCCAGTGTGCTAATAGTATTTGTTTCTTGTTGTTTATTTAGTATTTCAATCTAGTGTGCTAATATTTGATTAAAGTAATAATGTTTATAAAACAATCTAGCTATATTTACTAGTATTCTAAAAGGCATAATTGGTATAATGATGTTGTATTATGTAATTTTTGTACTATTATTTGAAAGTCTTGGTTTATTTGTTGAATTAGTAATTATTACTTTTTTGTTTATAAGAAATTGTGTTTTATATTTTATTTTTGTTTGATTTGGAAATTTTCTTGCTATGTTATTATCAGTTATAGAATAACTGAATTGAGTTTTTGGTTTTATATTTTGTATATTTTTTGGTAACAATGGCTTTTGTATGAAAAAATTATTTGGTAACAGTTTAAATCTATAGTGTTCTTTTAATAAGTTTATTATTTTCTAAATATTTATATTTTTTTTGATATGTTTAATAGAAATAGATGTCTAACTCTGCTATTTAGTTTATAATATATAGTTAGTAGTAGTTCTTTGCTTAGTGGCAAATTGAAGTATGCTGCTAGGATTTTGTCAAACTTGTAATGATTAATTAGCTTTATACAGTGGTATATTAGCTATTGAAGTTGCTTAAAATCTGTTATTAAAAAAAAAGATTTTAGTTTTTTTTTAAGTTCTTATAAATTGTTAGACAGTTTAGATAATAAAGTAAAGTATAATTCTAGTAAGATTGTAAAATAGAACAGAATACATAATGAGCTTACTATAGCTTAAGTTTGTAATCTTTTAATAATTAGTAGTTTAAAGATATAATTACTATAGCTTTGATATTAATTTTTAATAGTTTACTATGCAAAAAATGGCATAATATAATATATGTCTAATTAATTTTATTTTGTAATTTTTTTATATCTTCAATTGGCTATACTTAAATAAAGTTGTAATAGTATTTAACTATTTTGTAGATATTATTTAGTTTGTTGTATATATTTAAAATTAATATTTATCAAATATTCTATTATAAGTTTTTGCCTTAGCATTTGTTGGATAGTATCTTAAGTTTGTCTATTTATTAGTATAATTCATTTTTTTTTGTACTTTTTAACAGCTTCTCTAAATAGATTTGTAAATTCAATCTAATAAGTAGACATAGTTTGTCTGTTTGTTATAAAAAATATAAAAAAGACTAAATCTAGATGTTAAAATTTGGTATTTTGTTGGTTGTGTTTTTAATTTGTTTTTGTGAAGTTTTTTATTTCTGCAATACTATTTAATATTGTAACCATTTTATTCAAAGATTAGATTGTTGTATTGAATTTTTCAGTAAATTACAAATCTAGTTATTGTATTATATGCTTAGTCCAACTTTGTATTTGTGTTACAATTATGTTATCTTCAGCATTTATTAGATTTTCTATATTTTGTTTTAGTGCATAGCTGTAGGACTTGTATTGATTTATATTGTTGTTCTTATTTGTATTATGATCTTTAGATATAGGCCTACTATTGATACTATTTATATGTATTTGTTCTTTTATATTTTTTATATTTAGATTTTAGTTATTTACTATCATGTTATTTGTATTGTTGTTATTGTTTCTGATTATAGTTTTTGTTATTTTGTTATATATAATATATAATATTATTGTGTATTTTGTTAAAAATAAGCTATTTTGACCATTTTTAAACTTTTTGCATAATATTCAAAAAAGTATAAAAAATTAAACCATCTTTTTTTGATTGAATATAGGTTGATTTTGTATTATTATTGTTCTGCTTTGTTTTATAAATATTTATGTCTTGTTTATTGCTTTTTAATGCATATATAAGTATATATTTTGCTTTTTGTTTTTGAAACAAGTTAACTTTTACCAAGTCTATAGAGGATTAATTTTTGGTTTTGCTAACTTTAAAGTTTGTTTTGTTAATTAGTATAGTAGTTAATATTGTTATAAGAGTTTGTTTTTTGTATTTGTAATTGTTTTTTTGTATATTACTCAGTTTATTTAAGTTCTATTTATTATATTTTAAATTTTTTTTCTATTTTGTTTATTTTTTTTATTTTTATTTTTATTTTTTAAATCTTAAGCAGTTATGCTAGTACTTTATTAAAATTCTTGAAACTATATATATTTAAAATTACATAGAATTTCCTAATATCTAAGTCTAGCATCACTCAGCCACCCTATTGGTACCTAAGTGCAACTTGCTATACTATCTTAGTTAAAGATAAACTGCTCATCTAACTACTTAAAGCCATACCAGAAGGGTCTTTTCTCTTCTGTGACAAGCATATCAATTGTCTTTCAAGCTTCTTTCTTCATTTAATTCATCTTTTCTATTTTCTTGTTTTTTTTTCTTTCTTTGTTCATTCATTCTTTTTTATTCTTTTTTTTAGCTTTTTTCTAATTCGAGTATATTTTTTTATTTTGCTTGTTATGTTTATCTTCTTTTCCCATTCTTGTACTTTTCCATATTGAACTCTTTATACTTGGTCATAGAATGTATTTAATACTGTTCTTGTTATTATTTCTATGCATCTTTGTGTTATCTGTTTATCTAGAATCTGACTGATCCTTTTTTTCACCTTGTTTGTAGTTAGCTCTTTTATCAATACTCTTCTGTTAATAATTTTCTCTGCTTCTGTTTTTCCAAAAGTTGTTTCATATAACTCTTAAGATGGAATTCTGATTTTTTCATTCTCTTTAAGGCTATTCTATGCTGTTGCTATTGCTATCTTTTGAATTCTCTTTCACAGACTTTTTTGTTCACTGCAACTTGCCAAATATGCTTGAGTTTTCTTTTTATCTGTTAGACATACTTGGCAATCTAAAGATATATATATTTTTAGTCTTTTTCTGTTTAATTCTTCTAGTGTTAATAGGTC